CCCCATTCAAGCCGTCTCCAACCATTATTAGTCTCAAGCAATATGTGAATAAACAGTTTGGAAAAAAGGGTTAAGTTTTCCATTACCACGACTATATACGCTGTATAACTCCCACATTCCCACGTGAGTTTGGAATTTTGTAGAATGTGTATTCCCCCTTCGATCTTCCTAAAGTTTACCAGTTTCAAATTTCAGATAAGTAATGTGATATTAAAATATGTATTTTGTTTTTATCTAAAAATAAACATGGTCCCACTGATACAAACTTTAGGGTTAAGAAGATATATATGCTGTACTGTCAAACTTACATTTCCAAAACCAGTATGACTTCCGTTGACGTTTCGTAGACTTCGTAAAGACGAATAATACGAGGGGAGTTCTCACTTAGTTTCAAAATAAATATCTCGTGCATTATTTCGTGACGTACATCCGCCGCACGACGACGTTTCCGGATACACTTTGCTGCATAGTCCACTCCCGTTTCCTTGTGTTTACAACGACGTACAGTTGCAAATTTACCCCTATAAAAATAATAAAATAAACATATTTGCTAAGCCTATAATATGACATAAATTTCCTTTGTGTAAAAACTGTTAATTTTTATCTTGAATATTAAGAATAAAATAGCTGAAAATTATGGATGGAATGACTAGTCTGTATTTAAAAATTCAAAAGTTTAAATATGTATATCTGAACAAAGCTTGGCCATCTGTTTATATTGTTACGACAGCGGAGGTCACGTGACTCTAGTAACACGTCATGCACTTCTCGAACGTTCACGTCCCTCCCTGACTTCTCGAGAGCTCGGTATTCTTGTATATATAAGACGGTCACAAAGTGACGGCAACAATGTGTAATTGAACTGAGTATTGTTGAGTCGAGCACGTGAGACGTTCGTTGAGAATTATAGCGTTTGTTATAGCGCGACTCTTGAAATTACGTGTATCGCAAAGTTATATTCAGAAAGAATAAACCAGTTTTATTTAAGAAAGGACTAGTATCGGTAAAGTTTCTTCGGAAAGAATTTTTACGGAAAATTAACTAACGAACGGAGACGTAACAATATGCTAATACATACACAAACAGTTACAAAAAAAAATTAGTTCATCCTGTGACTCTCTAGGAAATTTGTTGTCCTAAAAACGTTTGAACGTTGACCAATCATAACTATGATTTTCAGAGCACGTGATCGTATAGCTAATGGTCCACCAAGAGTGTATTTATAAGACTCGTAGATTGTTTACGCCTTAATCATATCGTGTAAAATTTCCCTAACGGAATTTAATCACACCACCGTCTGGAAGCAGCTTATCCCTATCTCAACAATATATTATCCTAATCGTGCTACAACACTTCCCCATCTTTGGTCACTTATCCACGTTTCCAACACTATCTAAAAAAAGTTCACTTCACACAATCACGCTCATTTCTTTCAGCCCTCTCCAGTGTCACCACAAAACTGCCTGATGCCTAGATCGGCCCAAGCATTAAATTCCGAACAGTTGAATAACGATCAATAATAATAAAACAAAATTAGTATCTCCGACAGATCACTATAAATAGCAGTAAAGGCACGAGTTTAGTAGGAAAAATCTTTGGGATTTGTGTGTGTGTGTGTGTGTGTGTGTGTTTGTTTACAACTGAAATTTCCCTATTTAATTTACTTGTTAAAAGTTAGTTCCGCTTCCAGTTCGTTGCTGTAGATAGCTTATACACTGATTAGAAATTAAATATCTTGAAAAAGGCTTGTACTACTGCTAGGCCTAACATTCCTCTTAAAAAATCACATACACAACTTTTATTTTATTTTTTCAATTCACTCTTAATTTGTCCATTACGGATTTTCAATCAGAAATGTTTTTCTGATCCATCGTGTCTGACACAAAAGGCTTTTCGTTTAATATCAGAACTGGTCGTTTGGAGACACAGTTTACACGAAATGTTATTTATACTTGCCGGTATTTGACAATAAATTTTAAATTATAGAAACAACAACAAAAGAACAAATTTATCGTGTTTTAATCCCAAATATTAGGACTGTTGGTTTCCAATGTTTCGCCAGCTTTAAGCGATCAAATAGAAACTCCTAGTTTGATCAGTAGCCTAGTTTAAACTCATTTAAGCTTGGGTAAGTCTAACTTGATTTTCTCAAACTGTATCGTAAAAGTATACAATAAGAAAAGTAGCACCAATTTCGGCCTTAAGCATAAACAATAAAAACATTTTCTTGAAGCTTAGCACTGGTGCTTTGAAAATAAGACTTAAAAGTTACAATGTATTAATTATTTTCATATTTCGCAAAAAAAAAAAAAAAAAAAGCGCTACAAAGTATGCCATATTTAAAATAACAATTGGCCACCTAATTTGATTCTTAATTAAAATAAAACTTGGGGGGCATGCCCTCCAGTTAGCATACAAACTATCATGTGGTCGGATTAGGCCTGCCGTTTGGGACTGCGCCTGCTAAGGCAGACTAAATAAAACTATATTTCTCGTAACGGATATTTGATATAGGGTGGGTGTGACAGAAAACCTCTACAAGGATGGTCATGGCCCTTTTCACAAATTATATCACGTTGTGTGAATACAATGAACCTTCTTATTGAACCTATATATTGTTCAAAGTAGTATTACTTCCAGTTTGTAAATAAAAAAAAGCAGGTAATGTAGTGAATACTAGTTGGACCATCGCCCTCAGAAATTTCAAATGACCTAATCTGTCACGAGCAGAAAGCGGCTCTCTAGCTGTCGGTCAGGTCACAGACATTATATATATATATATAATAACAATGCATGTGTATGCTGCACGATCTTTATCCACAAAGGATGGTTTTCACTTGGAATAATGAAGAGGTTTATGGATAACACGAAGATTATCAACCAATCTGTTTATGAATACAAGCTTTTATTGTAATTTCATTGGATAATACAGAACAACTCTAAATCATTTGATCAAATGGAGTCAACTTGCTCGACTAAATTCATTCACTTTTTTTTAACGGAATCCTACTAATAGGTTGCAAACAGAAGAAAATCGTCACGACGCTACTACAAATTTTCCAAACTTGTCCCCCGTTGGGTCGGCGATCGGTTTACTGACTTACAACACTAAAAGCCGAGGTTCGATTCTCCGCGGTAGACAAAGCACAGATAGCCCATTGTATAGCTTTGCTCTAAAACAACAACACCGTTAATAGTTTTAAGAACTTTTAATCTTATTTTTAATGATTTCAAGTTAAGATATTATATTTTATTCGTGGTGAACAAGCCCCCCAGTGGCACAGCATTATGTCTGCGGACTTGCAACGCTAGAATCCGGGTTTCGATACCCGTGGTGGGCAGAGCACAGATAGCCCATTGTGTAGTTTTGTGCTTAATTCAAACAAACAAAAATCGTGGTGAACAAGTGACTTGGACTGTCCATGAAAACAAAGAGCGTGCTCATGACTCGAACCTCCAGCCATCCGATCCCCAGCCCGGAAAACTGACCACTAGGCTTTTACATCCATAAATAAAGGGAGCCATGAAAGGTGCGAATTTACTACGATAACAATCATATTTGAATTACAACGTTTCGTTTGGATGTCATTTATTCCAAAGTTCAAGGGTTCCCAAATTTTTTCTGTTCCAAGGTTCCCCCATGACATTAGGCATCTTGAATGAGATTCCCCACTCAATGATTCCATACAAATGAAGGAAAACTTAAGTTCATTTATTTTCTCCTGTACTATACTACTATAGGGGATTTGAGGTGCGGAAATGTTAAACCGTAACTAATTTTGTTAGGCAGAAAACGGATCAAATTACGTGAGAACTGCTAACCCTAACACGTTTTACTTTACATAAACCTTAACAATCGGATACGTCCCTCCATAACACATGATGATAGCTGCTCCAAATCCAGATCACTTTGAAAAACCACGACCTGGCGCGCCTCGTTTCGCGCACCATCTGAATCTAGGTAGTCGCGCACATACAAAAATAGTGATATTTTACTTTGGTGATGTCTGAAAAATTAGTTTAAAATTTCTACCTTTACATTCGATAAAACTTAAGATTGAGAGTTTATCCTTGTAAACAGATATTTCAATCATGAAACCACATGCGTTTTAATTGACTATTCATACTAAACCTTGGAAATTGTCTAAGAGACAAGCCCGTTCTCTTCAACTCGAAGTTTGACCATGAAAGGCACGTGGGTCACACCACACAGAGGATGTGGGGTCATTCGCATCGTTGAAAGTGTCTACTTTCATCTTGTAGTTCTATCATTAACATCATAGTCTCGCAGAAAAGGTGATTAGCATGAGAATATAGCAGAAATAACCTTCTTTTTTTTATGGTGAACAGTAGCAGCGTAACAGAACAATCATCTGCCACGAACCACCCACCCGCGATATGGATAAATACTATTGATTGGTTAACTTAATTAATACCACAAACCTCAAGTTTTATAGAGCTATTGCTTAAAAAAATGCACGTGCACTCATGCAACGACACTGTTATTAAAACCCACACTCTTTACAACGACACTGTTATTAAAACCCGCACTCTTTACAACGACATTCTTATAAACACCCGCACTCTTTACAACGACATTCTTATAAACACCCGCACTCTTTACAACGACATTCTTATAAACACCCGCACT